ATCCTTCGGAAATCATTCTAATATGCTGATTTGGTGCTCAAGAAAAAACAGCTGTGCTGCTTAATAATTTTGGGAACCATGATTCATTCTATGATGAATTAAAAATTCAAAAGAACAGCATTTATTTAAAAAATAAATCTTTTATAACATTATAAATGACTATACTTTTGATTTAGCTAAATGCATCTTTGCTGTATATTTGCTGTATATTATCAGGGTAAATTTGGATACTCTCTTTTCTTGTATTTTCTCTCTATATAACCATGAACATTTTTGTTTGCCTGGTGCTGACATAAAGGGCAGCTGGGGCCGTTTCCTCTGTTGACTGACAAAGCCAACCAATCGCATGTTGAGATACAGTAGATCGGGTCAGAGAATAAATTAAATATGCTTTTTACTGATAGAGCCACTAAACACTTACCACATTGCAGAGCAGTCAAAGTTGACCAGGAGCCATTTATGAGGATTGAAATTGAAAGAGTCTGCGAACTAAAAGAGAAGCAAATTTTGATGTGATTTGTTGTGAATTGATGTATCTAACTTACTCTTGAGAAAAGGGACAAAACGTTACTAACTTAACTGCTATTGGATAAATTAGTAACATTTCTATTCATTATCATCAGAGAGGCTCTGGTGAGTTTTATAGATATTTAGTTTTAGATTTAGATTGATCTAAACGCAATTCAAATTGTTTGGGAAAAAATTATTTAGATAATTTTAAATAGTATCTAGCAACACCAACAACAGAGGTGCCAATGCAGTTGATAAAGCTGTAATCTCAATTCTTTATTTTTTCTTTATTTTTTAAGTGATTGCTAGATCTGTCAATGTTTAAAATAAAACTAGGATTTACTATGAACTAATTATTAACTAACTTATTATTAGCTAATAATAAACTAGTATTTACATATTCATTCAGTTTTGCAGCCTCTTTATACCAGAAATCGGTGCTAAAATAATGAAAATAAATTTGGCTTGCTGAAAATAAAGATGAGTCATCTTTCAGCTACCTGTTAGCATGGTCTGATATCAACTACTTTTGACTCTGACGCATAGCATATTATGCATCAAACTCATAATCAACTGCAGCATCTGTCCAATGAGCATTCAAAAAGAGCCACTATCTCAAAGTCTAATCTTTTTGCTCACTCTCCCCTTTCCAATATCCTTTCCATCTGCCGCAATAAACTGCCATGATGGTTTGATTGTTGCCATGCTGAGTCCTGTCTGTCTTTCACTTCCTGGCAACCAACACCACACAGGAAACAGCAGCCGGCTGTCATTCCGGTCAATAATAAAAACCATCGTCTGTGAGGGGAGCACAGTCTTCACTATTGTTTGAACTCGTGCTGCTAATAAACAGTGATATTTCTTTAGCGAGGGAAAAAAGGAACTTATCTAAAGGTCTTCTTATGCCTCAGGAAATTACTTTACCCTTATCATTGTGACACCCAGCTGGGCTCCACGACAACTCAAAGGACGATCGGGGATCTCTAATATCCCGACCATTCCACAAGTCATCGCTCATGCCAGCTTGCATCATTTGTGACATTTAAATATTCTCAATCGCACACACACGACTCTGTCCTCAATGCACCGCTCCTAAAGTAACAGGATCAATAGTTTGAGCCCGGCACAAATTGCTCCTATCACTCGTGCCTCTCTGGGCGTTAAGAGCACCCTGTGAAGTGTGCTTAAGAACACGCTGTGTGATTTGAATGTTATCTCACCTCTACGCCATTCAGCAGGGGTCTGAACTCTGGACAGATAAATGCACTCCCAGCATATGCAGCATCAATGTGCATCCAGATTTTCTCTGCATTACCTGACATAGAAACAATGACAATGTGTCTATTAAAATATTCATCAAAACACTGATTTGCAAGCACAAATAAGACACAAAGGAAAACAACAATAAATGGAAATCAGTCTTACATATAGGGCCGAGCTCAGTGATGCAGTCGAATGCACAGGATGGAGTTGTTCCCAGTGTTGCACAAAACTAAGAGAAACATCCAGAATATCAAATAGATGGATTACTATGTGTTCATTTTAATATTTAATGTACTACAAATAAGTCAACCTAGAAATTTCTTTATCCTAATCTAGAATGTTCAATGAAAAATTTATTTGAGCTATAGGGTTTGATCACAAAAAGATTTGTTCCTGCTTGGTTTGTCTTTACGCTGTGACTCTTCTGACACAGGTTTGCTGGCTGAGCCTGGGGCTAATTTGACTAATGTGATTCAGAAAACAGGCTCTCCAAACAGC